GATGCTGCTGATGGACTGGACGTATGGTGACCCCAGCACATGCGCGTGAAAGTGCAGTGGAACCAGTGGCTGAGTCTGTTGGCGTGCGACAAACAGCGGAGCGGAACGCGCTGCTGCGCCGCCAAGCTGTACCAGTGTTGGTGAAGCTGAACCAGCATTTGGTCTGGGTGCTGCTGCTGCTTCATGAGACAGGATATCGAGAAGGGTCACATGAGCGATGGAGAGCGGCGATGGTGGTGTTGCGGGGGAAAGGGATGACACGTTGGTGTCAATGGTGACGAACTGCACACGTTGTTGATGTGACCGCCACCGCTCAAGGTGGAGGTACAGGGTAACAGCTGGTGTTGCAGATGACAGCATGGCGGTTGCGGTGTGCGAGCACACGTCAGCGTCTGTTGTGCCTGTGATATTTTGCAGAGGGGGAGGGAGGTCGCTCATGACACGGCGCCTGCGTTGCTGCGGCGTCAAGTCTGTCCATGCAGCAACACCAAAGAAGGCGCGAAAGGCGGACGCTGCCTGGGCAACAACAGGTGACGCGCCCCAACAGCCAGCTGATGCGTGCACACGCACGAGGACAGCGCCACCTCCAGTGAGGGCCAATACGCCTGTACGTGACAGATTGAGGCGAACAGTTATGCTGCCTCTGCCTCCTCCTGCTTCTAGTTTGCGTTGCGTCACGGCAACAACAGATGGGTGCGGTGCAGTGGCGCTGGCGGTGGATCCAAGTACCGCTTCTGGATGGAGGAGGGCAGCCCGGATGTCCTGAGACTGCGCGCACCAGAGCTGTAGCGGTGTCACGTCCACGGTGACGTTGAGATGCACACCAGCAATACGAGGTGATGCTGTGGGGCTGGTCGACGTGGTGGTGGTGGTGGCTGTGTACGACGGAGACGGGAGGTGAAGCGCCCAGTGCGCAGAAAACGGCGTAAAGGCGGTTGTCGTGGCCGTGCCGACAATAGCATGTGGTGTGCATGGGGGCGCGCCGCTTTGCACCGTGAGCGAGCAGTCCACGCGCCGAGATGATGATGATACGGGACGTGCGCGTGGCAATTGGAATGCTGGCGCACATGTTGCTCGCAGGCACGTTGTGTCGGACGTAGGATCGCATAGGACCACGGCGGGCAGCGAGGTGCTGTTTGTGAGTGCGAGGAGCGCGGGCGCAACGACGAGGCTGAATGCCAGGCGGACATGATCTTGCGACGTCTGAAGGATGCGCACGGCAGGGTCCACGAGTTGCACCTGCGCGGTGTTGCTATTGCTTTCATTCTTGGCATTGGCAGAGCTGGAAGGTGGAAGCTTGGCAAGGGTGCTTGCGAGCTGATGGCGCTGGCGCTGTCCAACGTAAGCCAAGGGAACGTCGCCGATTGCCAGCGACACGGTGGTGGAAGAAGAAGCAGACGAAAGT